TCAAAAGAAGTTTATGTTTGTTCTCGTAATAATGCGAAAATTCGAAAATTATTCTGTATCGGCTTAGAAGTGTTCCTATTAACCGAAAATAAATGTACTGTAATAGCACAAATGTCTTCTGATATTCAATTAAATTTCGTATACATACTCTTTTATAAACCAAATCATGTTTGTTCACAAATATAACGGTACTATCCTTCTGAATAAATGGATTTATGAAGGTAACACATTGTTTAGTATTCCATTAGTAGTACATTATATATCTTTACTATAAAATTAACCAACACTTTTAATTCATTCGTTTACGGCATCGTATAAAAAATATTAAGTTTTGTGTATTATATTTTTAAAATATTGTTTCACTACACAAGTTGATGCTCATTTCATAACTCATCTACAAAAAAGTAAGGTCTGTAACTTCATAAGCTTATTGTGAAGATAATAAGTAAATGCAAGTTCCATTGCGGGTAAGAGATATTGGTCTCATCCTGCTTGCGACTATATCTAGTTTATATGTAGGGTTGATTAATGAACTTCAGGCAGTGGCGGCTGTGGTGCAAGTTGTGATATTTCACCAGAGTTGATTGAAAAATCACTTCCGTTCTGATACGGCGTGTGTGTTAGTAACGAAATGTTTGGGCGAGTGTGCAGATTAACTTATTTCGTATTCAGAGGGCAAATATAGATCGAAATTTATCTTCTTGAGAAACCATTATGTTCCGTTAAATACAATCTAACAATAGTAAATACTCGGGATTATGGTAAGCTAAATGTAACAAAATGCAATAGAAAAATTAACTACACACTAACAAGACTTACTCACACCAACTTGGAAACATAAGTTATGATTACTGTAAACAACGATATCAAAAATATTTTAAAACTCCGCACCCTAAATTTGAAAAGTACACAACGTTTTCTAATTGCTCATGTAAGAGTATAAAGCTTTCACGCTAACACATTTAATACAGCTTTTAAAAGGCAGACGACGTCCGCCACGGATTATACTGTTCTCGGCTTGAAAGCTTTAAAACGTTCGGAATTCAGAAGCGCATCTGACACCGGCACCGAGACGAGCACATGTTTTGTCTTTTCTTTTGCTGCGGTTTGTACCATCAGTCGTGAGTCCTCGCGGTTGTCGCTGAAGCAATACGACAATGCCTTCTGCAAGATGGCGATCTGGCATGCAGATCTAGCAGGCGCTACGGCCCAATGCTTTGCTACGACAAATACTTAATTAACTCAGCGATAACAGCAAATGCCTCGCAGCGGGAGGCAGAGCATGCAGCAATTAGCGTGAATTACACCCCCAAATACAATAGTTTCTAGTTGCGCCAGAGCACGGTTCAGTGCTAGATAAATAATGTGTACACTATTTGTTAGAGGAAAATAGTGTTCTCTGCGTTATTAGTGAACTTTTTATAGGCCTGAGCGATATTTTGGTGGTCTTGCTGGCCATTAATGGTGCTTAGGATGCTGTTATTTGGTGCAGGTTACCTTCTTGTATACATGTTATAATTGTTATGTAAAATAATAAACTATTGTTATAAAAGCATTGATTGATTTTAAATCTGAAATATGTAGTTGGAAAGTCAAACGACAAACAATGTTTCTCGCCTACATATATCCCTGAAAGAAACTGATCAATTCAACATGAAATACTTCTGTGAGATGAAAATCAGGTGATAGAAAAAATAGTCAAGCAAATCAGAATATTTTGGAGAGGACTCTACAAAAACAAGATGAAGTGTAGAAGCTCGATATGCCATGGAGGTCGTGTCTGGCAAGGAGACGCCGTTCTCTACGGAGTGTTGTCAATTGCTAGGCAAAAGGTGTCATTGGCCATAAAGAAGACTGCAGTTTGACAAGTGAAAAGATGACAACACGTTCTAGGACACGGCGTCTTCAAGGCAATCAGGACAAAGTTGAAGCCCGACGGCAGAGTCACGCCGGCAGAGTCACGCCGGCAGAGTCACGCCGGCAGAGTCACGCGGCAGAGTCACGGCCGCAGAGTCACGCCGGCAGAGTCACGCGCAGAGTCACGACCGGCAGAGCACGCCGGCAGAGTCACCCAGGCCGCGGCAGAGTCCCCGAGCCGCCGCAGATCACGCCGGCCAGAGTCACGCCGGGCAGAGTCACGCCCGGCAGAGTCAACGGCCGGCGCAGAGTCCCGGCCGCAGAGCTCCCACCGGCAGAGTCACGCCAGTCCCGCAGAGTCCCGGGCCGGCAGAGTGCGACCCCGGCACGCCGCTCGGAGAGTCCCCGCCGGACAGAGTCGCGAAACCGCCGGCAGAGTCCCGCCGCAGAGTCCCGCCGCAGAGTCCCGCACAGGCAGAGTCACGCCGGCAGAGTTCCGGCCGGCAGCAGTCCCCCGGGCCGACGGCAGAGTCCGCGCAGAGTCCCCGCTAGAGTCCCGCCGTCAGAGTCCCGCCCTGCAGAGTCCCGCCGGCAGGAGTCCCCAGAGCCGCGCAGAGTCCCGCCGGCAGAGTCCCGCCGGCAAGCAGTCCCGCGGCAGAAGTCCCGCGGATCGCCGGGGAAGAGTCCGCCGGCAGAGTCTCCCCAGATGTTCCCGCCGGCAGAGTCCGACGCAGAGTCACGCCCAGGTCGAGGCAGAGTCCGACGGCAGAGTCACGACGGCAGAGTCACGACGGCAGAGTCACGACGGCAGAGTCACGACGGCAGAGTCCCGACGGCAGAGTCCCGACGGCAGACAGCTGATGGCTCATGGTTGATAAGCTGAGGGGTCGAGAACAGAAAAGGATTGCGAGTAAAGGCAAGAGAGATTCTGCTCTGAAGGCTGAGGGCTGACGTGCGGCGCAGAGGCCTCAGCCGAGAGCCGCCGCGTGATGGGCCGGATCAGGCGTCGTGCGCCGGGTCGTGCACGTGGCGCCTCCCGGGAGTCGTTCATTAGGGAACTCGTCGGCAAGTCGGCGCCCGGCGCGCGCAGCGCCGCGGGGCGGGGCGGGGCGGCGCGGGCCTGCTCCCGCATGCATGGGGCGCGCGCCAGATCACGCGAGCCAGCTGCTCGTCGCTGGCGAAGCGGCGACAAGCGCTTGGCAGGGGAATTTCTATGCTCCCAAAGCAACGTGTCTCTTCTGCAATCTTACACACGCTCTAGGGTGGCGATTATTCAATCAATTGGCTACACTTAACATATATAGACGTTTTAGTTTCAAAGATTTCGACATCATCTCAGCTAATTTCTTTTTCGGGATAGTATATTGTCCAGTGGGATGAGTGTGGCGCTTATTATGGAAGGTAGACGATTGTGAGCACTTATACTTTCGTGGACACTGCAATGTAAGTCTTTCACTGTCGATAATTATTGCGACTCTTCAACTCTATTGCACTCTTCATTACATCTTCAAGATCACCATTCAGCGCCGTCTTATTTTCATTACATTTCATCATCTGAGGCGGAAAAGACAGTACAAAGGCAAATAAAGTGCATTTGTACAATAATTCTGATCAAAAATAAATTTTCAATTCGATTCCATCCTGTTCATCAACGAAGAATGGGGTTTTTACAGTCTATTGTTAACGTATATGTGGTCACTACTTTTTAAAATGCGTAAAGAAACCCTTCAAAATAGTTTTAACATTTATCCATTGTGACACTATCGAACTAAAACATTTCAAAATATTAAATAAAATTAGTTTATAGAACCAACAGTATAAAATTATCTGTAGTGATAAAACGAAGGACCTGGCAGAAACGAAAGAACCTGCTAGAAAGTAAAAATTTAAGTAACGATAATGATTAATTTCTTCAGATCTAAGTGTAGCCACTGCATACACGCGTGGGAGGCGTCTCGCCTCTTATCCAGGAAGGTGATCACAGAGGTGTTTCTATTTGCCTTACAGAAAATAAAATATAGTAAGAAGAAAGATGATGAAATTGGGATGATTGTTCGTAGAAGGCAATGGAGGTATGAGAAGCACAAGAGAAGTTTACATAAACTGAAGCCGATATATTTTCTCAAAGTCCCATATTTTAATAGGAAAATTGACTAACATAATAATATTCATTACATGCCATTATCTTATCAATGAAGTCCAATTGAGAAGCCTTCCACTCAACTCCTTGCAATATGCGTGACCAATTGTTAGGATCCGTTTTGGCAATATATTCCTTACGTTTATTGCAGAGCTACACGAAAACGAACAAATGAATTAGCCTGCTTCTAAAAAGCCTTCTTTTGTTCCATCTCCTTAGCTTTGCCTTCGAATATATAATATCTGCATCTGTCTTGTTTTAAACCTAAGAACCTCTTGGTGTCGAAGCTTTAGAGCGTTTTGACACGTTATATTCTTCATTCCACCTGACAAGAGCAAAAGTTTGTTCTGTAGAAGAATAAATACCAATCGTCTGTGACATAGGGGTTTGAAACATGTACGAGTACATGGGGTCAGCATGTTTGAATCCTACGTAATGCATGGGTACAAGATGAATCGCACATGTTTCGCAATTTTTCGCGCACGCTTCATAGTATTGATATTACTATTATTTCTAATAAAAATATATCTATTATTAACACGAGAAACAGTGTTCTGCGTGCAACATATTCACAAGCACTCGTTAATGTTGTAATGTGTACATGTTTTTACACGTAAAAAAGTGGGGGACAAATGACTAATACTAAAGACAAAATGCTGTTATTATTAACAACACTACTTCTCTAAGTATATTTCATTATAGTGAATCCCATTTATGCCCGTTCATTTTCGACATTACTGATCGAAAAACAAAAATAGACGTACTTCTATCAGTTTTTATGCTCCTTCGTCCTTGGAAACGTTTCACCAAAGCAAAGTTTACCTCCTGACCTTAAGATAAAGTGATATCACGAGTGTATAGGATTGTTAGCTCTCCCATGGAAATCAGTACCTTCTGTTTAAACATGAAACAATTGCATTCAACTGAAATAAACTATAAACTACAGCCCAACAAATGGTAACTAGAATGAAAAATAATGTTAATTTTCAAATGGCCTTCTTACCTTGAAACAGTTCCATGCCTACCGCAGCGCTTAGTCATGAAATAACGAGTTCAGGTTTGATCTGCAAGAAAAATTCAAGTCATTATGAAAAATAAACACTTAGTTACAAACATTGCGTGTTTATATTTAAATTTGTAAATATCATAACATATTTGTATTAAAACGTTTATAAAAAAAGGCAATTCTGAAAATAAGTGAGGTATATAATGTTATATTAAAGATTATTAAAAACGAAGATTTTTTCTTAAGAAGCAAGTATTTTGCACCAACACTTCCAAATTTTGTCTTCCAAATTCAGAGAGAGACAGTGAAACGGGATTGGTGCGGAAGGGGGAGAGGAGAGGGAAAGAGAGGGGGAAGGGTGAGGGGAGAGAGGGGGAGAGACTATTATTATTATTAATGTCATTAAAAGTGAATTTATAATTATTCTCACTCCGTAACGTTAGATTACGATATCAAGTCAATAAAAAAAAGTTCGGTGAACTTCGCGGACATTGCTAACTTTCTGCGCTTTCTGAAACGAAAAAAAAAAGAAATATTAATCAATATTATGTACGCGTGTGGATAGGTGCTTTAGTCTAGTGAGAGTAAACCACATTAATTTCACAAGTTAAGGATGTATACATGAGTATATTGTGGTATGGTCGCACACGAGCATTTAAATGTACCGCCGCATGAGGCCTCGGCGATAGCGCCAGACGGGAGCTTTTCTGCCGGTGCCAGGGAGAGCGACACAGAAGAGGGTCTCAGGCGGCGGCGCGGGATAGCAAGCGCCAACGCCGAAGGCACCACCCCATCTTACGCCACTCCCGATTTACCGCTGGACAGCAAGCTCAGCGAATTATAAAGAATAGATGTCGAATCCGAAAAGGCAGTGTGTGTTCTAGGGAAAGAGAGGGTGCCCAGATGCGAGTGGGGAAATTGAAGTATGTAGGGTGGACGTAGTGTGCGATGAAATCGTTTTTTCTCTGTTTATCAGTCTTCCACTGAGTGTACGGTAAATAGACTATTTTTGTATATCTCTCGAATTGAAAAATTGAGGAAGCTTAATGGTACGATTCTGTGTTGTGGCTAGTACAAATAAAAACCATTTTTATAACGAGTTTTAATAATTCTAATTTAATCACAACATATAAAAGACGGAAAACTTCTTGTGAATGTGTCCTGAGAGAATTAGTCACCCAACAGGTCAGTCAATGTGAAATCTGCAACACATAGATCACCTTTCCACCTGGCATTTTACCACTTCAACGTAATGTGGATAAATTCTGCTACAACAAGATTTCGAGTTCCCTCATTAAAATGGTTAATGTTCACGAAATTATCAGGAAGGTAAAAAGAAATTCACACCTTGAGTGTTTCACAAAATTCTTCGGTGGATAAAAAACCGCGTGTACGTGAAGTCCTTCATCTTTAAAAGTCGGGGCGAGGTTCTTCTCCCCCTGCTTTTGCGCCGTGGACCGGCGCGCGCCTCGTTAAGCACACGCGGTTGCAGCCGCACCTTCCACTTGCCAGCGCTCGCGGACCACGCACCCCCCCCCATCAACCCCCCTCCGTCCTGAGCGCTCCGGCCTCCTCTGCTACGGGGAACTTGGCGGCCAATCTTGATAAAACGCCCGGGCAGATGCCGTTCGCGCTCCGCCATCTCGGTCGTCTCCCCGCCATCACCATTGCCATCGCTTCCACCGAAACCTTCCCAGTTTCTATCCCTGGTTGCATCTACCCTTCTTCTTTGAAGCCTGTAAGCCACATTCGCCTTTCTCATCTTTACTCTCTGTGTTTTGTATCGATATTACTTATATGTACCACATTCCTAAGAGATTGTTCCTTTTTTCTTCAATAATTCATAGTCCTTAACTATTTTTTCAATTCCCACAATATTTTGCTGTTATTACATTTTAATCCATCTTTCTCTTCCAAATTCCAACATTCACTCAGTCGATTTCACCTTTGTGTTTTTCCACTGCCCGTTAAAAGAGAGTCGGAATTTCTCTAGCCAAGTTCCACGCCTTGCGCATTGTAAATAACTTGGCATCCATCTTTAGAGGAAAAAACTAGAAAGGAAAAAACAAGTGAACTTAGTAGAGGTAAAGTTTGAAGGTCCTTTCATTTCCTCATAAGAAATATTTTTAAACAATGCAATACGAAATCAAAAGAATCGCGTATACACCAACGGGAGTGGAATACGGATGTAGTTGGGATCCACGTATAGTACTTGAAAAGGAGATTAGACTGATTATATAAAATGGGGCAAAATATAAACTTCGGGGGAACTTAATGGGTATGTGGAATCATTAGACCGTAGGTGAACAGGGCACGAACTTTTACAGTCTGTCCCAACATGCAATCGGTCGGTCGGTTGGTCGGTTGGTCGGTCGGCAAAACATTTTCTTAAAAAACCGGTCCAATTTTTAAAAATTGTTTCATAGAATGAAGAAAAGTACAGTTATAAAAATGAGGCAGGTCCCAATTTTATTGTATTATTGTATATTCAAAAATTGCAAAATTAAAATACAATGCAACATTAATTAGAGACATTTTGTTCGTTAATTAAATATGTTCTTTAAAACTATCTTTAATAACATCTTTAGAAACTTTTTTTTAAAATATGAGTAGATTCACATAATTTTTATAAATAGAAAATTGGAATTTCCCATTCTTTTTTGCTGAGCAGATGCTTATATGATGTATCAGATTGCAATATGTCTCCGCCATTTAATAGTCATATTTATATTTTTATCGTTATGCCAGGCCACTTCCTTAAGAATTCCGTTCAACTCGTCATTTATCCTCTCTGTAAATCATTACATTCACCGTAATCATAATATAGTATAAATCTGAATCCGTACCTTTCATTGAACCTAAATTTCAACATCACTGAAGCATGTACTTACTTTTATTATTCACTCAATTTTTGCTCTGAACACTTTTTCGACCTTCCTAGCAGCTCCATATAAAACAATTAATATTACACAAAATATTGTGTACTCATCATATCTAAAAGCCGTTTGCAGCATTTAGATCATGTTCTGCACTCCTGCTTTTTGTTCATTCTATTGTGACACTTTCACCTTCATAATATTGTTCCTTTGGCAGTTTTCTTTACCAGCGTATTTACACATCAATCTTCCTTATTCATTATCTCCACTGTTATTTGCAATTTTCCGAGTATTGTAACATGTATTTTATCTATTCCTCCTTCCGTCCAATATTAAAATATCCGTAAATGCATATCATAACTGTATCTCTATCACATTTCTTCCATTCGATCAAACATCACTTTACATATTCCAAATACGCATACCATAATGTTAAATCTTATTATTTTAGTCCCATTCAGTCAACGACGTTTTAATTGATCTATTTTCCATATTTGTCACTCCTAGGACTTCAAAAGGTGCGGTAGAGTAGAATTCGGCCAGCTTTCGCGCTATGCTTCCATCGCAGCCGCCCTCCGCACGCCCGAGAGGGTTTCGAAGGGAGTGATATTTACGCGCGCTCCCCTCAAACGGCGGGAGAGACGGTGTTTACGAAACAGACTCTCCAACTGAGCGCAAGGGAACGCTCAGCCGTCAGATGTAAAATTTGGGAAGAAAACCAAGTGCTAAACCCAGTGTTCTGTGTATCTTGTCTCCCAAAAGGGTCTTGAAAAAATTTAAAAACTTTGTGTTTCATCTAAAGTTCTTCACAGATCGTACAGAATTTAAAATTAGATTTTATATATCTGAAAACGAATAGTCTGAAAAATCCGATATTTTAACACATAGCATAACAAGTTCTTGTTCTTCTTGCAAGTATTTTACAGCTCTTGTGACCGTCTCTCGCATCACAATCTTCATACCACTCCATCATTCCAGTCATTTTCGTCTAAAACTCTTCTTTGCATATCTTTAAAAACATACTTCTGTCATTCCTCTCTGTGTCTACTATTTTTTCCTCTGTCTAATAAAAACCACTCTCAAATCTTTTTGAGTCATCTCCTACAAACAAACCGTTTCACGTGACCAAACCATTTCAGCCTTCGTGTTTCCAATAATCTATAATTGATTTTTAAACCTGCATTCGCTTAATAATTAATTCATTTAATTTTTCTGTAAAGAATGAAAACAAATTCTAAATAATATAAATGTTTAAGAGATTAACTTTTATTTACTTTTATTTCCAAGAAGATAAATAAAATTATTAATTACATTATATTGAAGCTTAATCACAATCATACTTAAAATTCGGTGCAACTACACAATAACTAGTGGTGTTTCAATAGCATACACTTTCTCTCATTGTTTATAACGTTTATGCAGTACCCTAAAACATTAATCTGCAAAAGTATTACCAATCAGAATTTTGTTTCACATTGTGAGTTTAAGAAAGTTTCGTTAAGTTTAGAATGACACGTTACCCCATATCACCTTCCTCACAAGTTAAACGCAAACTTCCCGACACACAAAAAATCATGAAAATTTACTTTTGGAATTTTCGAAAATTTAGACCCTACAGGTCATTACTTTAAGATCTACATTTAAATAACAGATTTTGTAAAGAAAAAATCATTATATTCCAAATTTTATTAATAAGGATATGTCAATTGTAACCTTTCCCAATTTTTAAAAATCTAGAAACTTCAACGAAAATGGGACCTATGTCACTTTCATGTGTGCTTTGCTCGTCCCGAGAAAAAATAATACCAAAAATTTAGAACCATTTGTGAGAAAATGTTTAAATTGTTGAAGTTTTTGTTAAGTACCCCCAAAAACCGAATATATGGAATGTCGAAAAGGCAGACAGGCGGAAAAACGAAACGGCAGACACACGGAAAGATAGACAAACGGAAATATATACGAACATACTTTTTGCCTTAATCCAGGGATTTTCAAACGTTTTTCGTCTACGCCTCCCTTGACCTAAACGAAACTTCCCACAGCTCCCCTGGTAAAAAGTTTCAATTATAAGGTTTAATGTAGACATTCATTTCTTCACTCACTGTCTTCTAAAATCGTGTGCAAAGCAGAAAAACTGTAGTGAGTATCTTCAGCTTCCAACTTTGTCTTCCACAAAAGTAAT